TTTCACTTATTTTCTTAAAATTATATCAAAATTTTTTTTAAAAAAATTATCCAAACAACCTAGACATTTTAAGCTTTAGGTTGTAGGTAATCATCAATTATTACCTAACGCTCTTTGCACCCTTGTTTATAAATTTAGTATAACCAAAAGAGAAACAAGAAGAGAAGGGGAGGAAAAAATAAATAGATATGGTCTTTCTTCTTTTTCTATCCATTTCCCTTGAATCAAACCGGATGAGGCAAGTTAAAGGACAAGGTTTGATTGAGTTATTATGATGATATTATCGATGATGACAAACAAAATCTTAATAACGAACCGTCCAGGACACGAGTGTTAAAAATGCAGTGATGATATGATTAAGAGTATAATGACAATGAACCACCAAACCGAAAAGGTTAAGAAAGGAAACGGCTCAGATTAGAGGTAGGCTCGTCTGGCTTCTCTTACGGTTACCCTTAGTGCCTTCCCCATGGATATATCATATATCATCAAATAAACGAGAAAGAAAAAAATTCTATAAAATAAGTGAATTCTTTTTTTGGTAAGATAAAATAAGTGAATTCCGAAAGGGACAGTAGGCAATATGCACAAATCACAACGCAGGGGACGAAACCACTATACCGTATCAGCACATAGACTTCAGGATATAAAGCAAAGATCACAAAGCCGGCATGCCCAAAACCATGATACCAAAGCACACCTGCCTAAAACAACCCCGTCTCCACCAATTTTCTTCCCCAGTTCTTTTCAAGGACTAATCGAGAAGCTTAGTGATACAAGCGAAGATGTTAGATGTAGGGGAATATTCTCAAGGAGTGGCAGAGCCTTTTACTGGTATAAATGAAGTCATAGCAAACAAGAAGAAGAAGAATAAAAGGAGGTTCAGCGATGAACAAATCAGATCACTGGAATTGATCTTTGAAAACGAAACAAAGCTTGAACCTCAACAGAAGTTGGAGCTGGCCAAAGATCTAGGGTTGCAGCCGAGGCAGGTTGCAATATGGTTCCAGAACAAGAGAGCTAGATGGAAATCAAAGCAGCTCGAAAAAGATTACAGCATACTACAAGCCAATTACAACCGTCTAGTATCCCAGTTTGAAAGCCTAGAGAAAGAAAAACAGGCTTTACAGATTCAGGTACTTAAACTACTAACTTAATCTACTAGCTAGAATGCAGAGAGACAACAAAAAGGCATTATGGAAAGGCTAATTAATGTTTTAAATTCTGGCAGGTGCAGAAGCTAAAGGGTATGCTGCAGAAGCCGACAGAAGAAAACCAGACTTCTGGAGAATGTGTGGCTATGAACAGCGTTGACCGTGAAACAGAGAATGGAAAAACTGCCAGGCGAGAATCCAAAGTGCAGCCTAGTGTATCAATGGAAAGATCAGAAAATGCATTAGGAGACCTATCAGATGATGATAGCGCCATGTTGAAGGATGACTATTTTGGACTCGATGACGAGTCCAATCTCATAAACATGGTAGAACCCACTGATAGTGGTTTGACATCTACAGAGGATTGGGGCATTTTTGAGTCTGATGGTCTCTTCAATCAGTCTAGCAGTAGCCAGCAGTGGTGGGATTTCTGGTCCTGAATGAGGACAGAGAAGTATGGAGGACATGCATGCAACACTTTTGTTTTTTAAAATTTAGGAGAGTGCAGGTAAAATTAGGGGCCCCCAAAAGTCCTTGTGTATGATGAAAGGATGCTAAAGAGAAATATGTCAATGTTTTGTGTCCAAGTGAGAAAAGGGAGAGATACATTGAACAAGTATCCAGCACTAATCCAGGTTCTCATTCAATTAGAATCTTAAAGGAGTTAAAAGTGTTCGAACACATCCCTACTTTATTGTCTAATTTTCCTATTGCTTACCCTTTCTGTTCTTTTCTTCTTCTTTCCTCATTTTTTTTCCCTGAAAAGCATTTTGCTTTCTTTCTTAATGGTGGTTATATGAAGATAAGAAGTGACTTGGCTTAAAACCTAGAACCTGAACATCTGAACCACTCTTAATGGAGCTTTTGTTGAGTAGACAATGGCCAGCGATTCATGAAATGAAGCTATGCTAATGTCAGATAAGTCATATTGGGGTAACATATCACTAGGGCCAATAGCATGGTCACATAATGGTTCAAATTATTATACATTCTAAGTTCAAAACTCCATTCTCTGTCTTATCAGCAGTTAAAACTGACCACTAACATCATCATGAGAGGCCAAAAGTGCCTACACAGTATTCATACAAAATCAACCATTAGAGGTTATGACTTCTAGAGTTTCATGATAATAATTTCTAATGTTACTTCTAAAGTTTCTTTTCGCTTATTAGATACTCTCCCCGAAATTGACGGAACTAAAGAACTGGTAAAGACCTACTAGCACCTCAGAGAAACCGAACAGAAATAACAAATGGGAACAGGCAAGATCTTCGCATTATTTGTCAATAATATTCTATTTCACCAGAATATTCATTTCCACTGAAAGAATGTTAAAAAAGAATCGGAATATGAAAATAACTAACAAGAGACGCTTGATGCTGGCATCAAATGTAAAATCCTAGGAGAATCAGAGAAGAACTTATTCATGTCCTTAGCATGCCTGATGCCTAGATGTACAGGCAATATGTTCCAAAATTAACTACATACAATCTAAATGATACGCTAAATCAACACTTGTTTCTTCCTGCATTTCAGTCTTAATATTCCAACTACAGTATGAAAATTATTCTACAATTAAAACATAACTCAGAATACATAAGCTGAAGCACAATTTATTGCAAGTAGCAACTTGCTTCTCATATTAGATATCATAATAGTCATGGCAATAATGTAGAAGAAAGGTATATCACAGTATGAAATAATATTAGCAGCATAATAATAATTAACACCAATAGAAAATGAATAATAGTTACTAAAATCAAGCAAGGATATTCATACCAGATAATTGCAGCACAGCAGCACAGAGGTTGACTTACAGATCTGTCCGGTTGCCAACCAAACTCGTTTAGGAATGACATGCTTCCATTATTCCATATGTTTTATGCCTGGATCACGGAGAAAATCTTCAGTTCAAGAAAATTTAAATCAACATGAATAATGAAGTTAACTATGAGCATGCATAATGCATCCTTCATTCTCGAATTAGAGCATTAGCTGCATAATTAATGTAGATTTCAAGGTCGAATCATACTCTTTACAATTGACCAAGAGCTTCTAAACCTTAATTTTACAAGGAATCTGTAACACCAACAGAACAGAAAGATAATCGGCTAAATTATTAACTACTTGAATACACAACACGATGCATCTAATCTAGTTTTCAAATGACGGTGAGCTTAAATCTACCAGAAAAGTGAACAACGAATAGTTTATGGTAGCTAATCTCCAGGTTATTGTGCAAAAAATTGACAAAAAAATGGCGAGGAAACCGCAGCATTAGCTAAGTCTCGATTTCCTTCTTTTCTTTTTCTCAGTAGCCAAACAGAAGCTGAAAAATTAGAAACGCTACCTTCGACTACTCTGGATTTCCACATCTGAATGCAAAACCTTCAAAGAAACTCGCATCAAACAGAATCATAAACTCTTGTTTGGTGACTGAGAAAACCGAGGGAAAATGAATTCCTAATTTTCTATTTCAAATCTACTCCTGTTTGCATTTGGTATCGAGCGGTGGAGGGAAGGGGTAGAAAAGTGGGAAAGGGAAATAATCGAACGACCGAGAATGCTTTGGCCATTTTATACCCGAATGATGGGGCCTACATTCAGCCTCGGAGACTCTACGTAAAAACGACGTAGTATCATCCATCATCATAATATTTTGGTTAAACCCCCTTTTTGGTCCCTCAACTATTGTATGGACTCTCAATTTAATTCTTAAACTAAAAAAATTCTTGATTTGATTCCTACTGTTTATCATTTTAACCCTAACTTAGTCCTTTTGTTAAAAATCAATCTATGTGTCCCATTACTTGATGAAAAAAGATGACATGTTAAGTATCTTGACACCTAAAATGTACAACATGGCAAAATAACAATGACATAACAAGAAAAAATCTTAAAATATTTCTTTTTCCTTTGATTTTCCTTTTCCCCTTTCTTCTTCCTCTTCCTTTTCTTTCACCTTCTGCAAACCCTAACACTTTCTAAACATAAATCCAAAAATAACACAAACATAAACCCAAAATCTTCCAAAACAGTCATCAACTCTAAATTCTTTCTTTTAGCCTCCCAAAAAACCTAGAAAAATCAAGCATCTTCTCCCAAATTTCTAGAATAAAAAAAAAAAACAACTAAAGCATCTTTTAAGTCTTTCGAACCCAATAGATTTGTTGGGCTTCGAAACCCTAGTAGATTGATAGATCATTGGGTTCAAGAACCCAACAGATCAATAGATTGTTGGGTTTCATCGAATCCATCCAATAAATCTCTAAGTTCAACCTCTGTATTCTGGTAAGAAAGTCTCCAATTATAAGCAATCATATGCAAATTTTTTCCCTCATAACCAAATTTTGCCAAATTTTCAATGAGAACAGCCCAAACAAAATATCCATTAGCAAAATAATCAGCTGCAACCCAAAAATATCCTTAAAATTCAAGCTTCTAAACATAAGGGACAAAAAAAAAAAAAAAAATTCGAACCTAGCAAATTGTTGGGTTCTCTAGAACCCAACAGATCATTGGGTTCGATTAATCGTTGGGTTCAATGGAACCCACCTAGCAATCTGTTGGGTTTCGAAGAGGAGATGATTAAAAGGAGATGAGAGATGATGAAAGGAAAAAGATGATGAAGAGATGACAAAAAGAGATGATTAAAACCCAAGCCGATAAACAAGGATTCAAGGGAAGAAGATGAATAATGAAAGAGGTTGGAGATGAAAAGTAAGGGGTAACGAAAGGAGGAAGACAAGAAAGTGATGTGTGGTTGAAGATAAGGGTAAAAATGTAATTTTATTTTTATAATTTAACCTTTAATTGTTAGTTGAAAATTACACATTAAGTATTTTTTTATCATAGTGTCAATCTTATGTGTCAAGATATTTAATATGTTATCTTTTTCCTGTCAAGTAACGGGACATGTAAGTAGATTTTTAACGAAAGAATCAAGTTGGGGTTAAAATTATAAACAGTAGAGACTAAATCAGGAATTTTTTCAGTTCTGAGATCAAATTAGAGGTCCACACAATAGCTAAGGGACCAAAAAAGGGGTTTAACATAATATTTTCTTAATTAAATATCAATTTTGGTCTCTCAACTTTAAAATTTTACACAATTTTCATCCTTTCACTTTTTTCTCTTAACTATAAAAAAAAATATATTTTTAATTATTCTATCAATTAATCTATTAAATTTATCTAAATTTACATATTTTTAGTTTATTAATTTTTAATATATGCATATTTTTCATCTCTTAACTTAAAGTTGAAGATTAAAAATTTATATATTTAGATAAATTTAATAGTTTAATTGACAAAAAAAATAAAAAAAAAAATTTTTTATGATAAGAGGATAAAAATTATATAAAACTTAAAAGTTGAGGGACCAAAATACACATTTTATCTATTTTCTTTTGGGCCTCAAGTGGCCTTAATCAGATCAACAGATAATTTCCGCTGTGGTGAGTCACGAGTCACGAAGTAGTCCCGCTGAATCTTGTCCTCAAATCAAGCTCCCTCTCTTTTCGGCTTTAGAGGGGAGGGAGAAAGGTAAGGAGGGGTAAGAGCGACAGAGTGATGAACGACCTCTCAAATGCGGCTTTGCTAGAGCACCAGAGTTGCTACTGCTGCAAACCCATACCCAGACTAGCACTATACATTCTCCCACCTTTGTTCCTCATTGGTCTCTCCGTCTCCATTTTCATTCTCGTCGTGGTCCACAATGCTGCTTTTTTCCTCTCTTTCCTGTTTCTCTCTGCGTTGGTTGCTACTTTGATAACATGGAACGTCGTTAAATGGAAGAAGAGTAGAGCTGCTATCTCTCTCTTCCTTCGCTCTTTCCCGGACTCTGATCTTGCACTTGCGAGTCAAGGGCAGCTCGTCAAAATAACTGGGGTAGGGTTACATTCTTCTTCTTTTTTTTTTTTTGTTGATTTTATATGGGTTTTCATGAAATTTATCTTGTGTTTTAGTGTTTTTAGAAATTTTATATTTGAAGTGGGAAAATGACAATCAGTTGGCACCTTGTGTATGTCATTATCTTGGTTTCAAGAAAGTGGAGAAATTTTGCATTTGCTTGAAGATTACATGGGGTTTTTAATTCTTGCCCTAAAATAAAAAAAGATGGGAGTTTTAAATAAAATATGTCTAATTTGATTTTTTTACATTGTACTCATCATGTGAATTTATTACATTTTAGATGTTTTGCATATTTTTGTTGCGAAGATAAGTGTGTTCCGGTGATTCAGTGAACAGTAAATGACTCAGGTGTTGTGCTTCTCAATGTTACAGTTTCTTAATTAGGAGTAGAGACTCAAGAATGCAATCCTGAAATACTGCTGCTCAACTTGTTTATATAAATGAAGTTTCTTTTAAGTTATTGTGCTGCTTCCGGAGGAATGAAAACAAGTAGATGTACTTTATAGAGTTGATAAATTATTAGAGGGATAGAATCACATTTGGTATGTTACCCCTACAGAGAGTGTAATAATTTGAATCAGTAGAGCCAACGAGGTTAATTAGGCAAACTTGTTGACTTATTATAATTAAACATAAGTAGTAATTAATAAATTGGATTTAGATTATAATTGTGTCAAAACTCTCAAAATGTCCCTTCAGTTACACCTATGTTGTTGAATGTGTTCTTTGATTCTTGCTGACAATTATTCATATATTCTCATTCTAACGGATTACTTTACTATTGAGAATCGTCATAATATCAATCCGGTTCTAGTGTGTAAGTCCATAGAACTCTAGGATTGGATTGAAAGCAGGGTAGCTAGAAAGGCAACCTATTTATTCAGAAGATTGATTCTCATTTGTTGACTGGGACTAATCATAGTGTGGAGATTTAAGTTGTGTCCTGTCACTTCCCCCTCCAATTGTGACAGATTTGATTTCTATGATTTTGTTAGGTGTGTGTGCAAACTGTGACCTAGAATGGGTTTAGGATCTGCTTGTTATTATAAATGCACAAGTTTGTTGTTATCTAACACGTTATTTCTATGGATTGTCAATTAGATAATAGATACTTGCATTATAGCAGCTAACTATTTGTTGAGTGTATAGCAAATCTGGCTTTTGACAGGAAAGTTTACATTCTTATCCCGCAAATTTGAGTTATCATGAGAAAAGTCAGAGTTTTAGATCTCTTTGGGTGATCAATAGTTGGCTTAATACTGGCTTATTATAGTTGAGAATGATGAGAAGTTGTTGAGTAAAATATCATTTAGGTTTTTGTTATTTTCAGCACAATCTTAATCATCTTCTTGTTGACTGAGACTGACTGAATTTAGCTGTTCTACAATTTCAGATGGCATCATGTGGGAATGTCTCCTTGGAATCGTCATATGAAAGGGCTTCCAGATGTATTTATTCATCTACTCTTTTGTTTGAATATGGACAACTAGGTCTTAAGCCTGTTAATGTTAACAGATCTTGCTTTAATTGGAGCTTAATGTATTGTGAGGTAAGCAAGTAATTTCATAATTGCAGTGATCATTATTGCATTGAATTTGCTATATATTGATGATTGCTGTCTTGTTTTAACCAATAGTATGTTAATACTTTTCACTAAGTCCATCTTAGCCCACAACAAAAACAAGCCTGGTTTACTTCTGCTCCTTTATTCTCAGTTAAATTTACTGCTTTATAATTGCTTTGTTAGAATCTTGAAAATTCACTTTTTGTAGATTTAATGAACAAATATTCTGGAAAATGTGTTTGTATTGGGAAGTAAGTTTATTTTGTATGCATTTTCTTTTTTCTTTTTCATGACAGAGGTTCTCCACTGATTTCTACATTACTGATCAAAAGTCTGGTCTTAGTGCCATGGTAAAAGCTGGTTCAGGTTCTAGAGTTGTGCCCTTGGTGAGGGAGAGCAAACTTGTAACTACTACCAAACAATGCAGAACGCTTTCTGCTCACCTGCGAAGATGGTTAAGAGAAAGAAACCTTTCTGTAGAAGCCAGACTCCTACGGCTGGAAGAAGGGTAACCCACTTATATGAGCAAAAGCTTAAATTTCCTGCTGCTTTTGACCCATGCTTGCTTAACTCTCATGAACTACAGATCTGCACGAGTTTTGACAGGTATATACAAGAAGGCAGTTCTGTGACTGTAGTTGGAATGCTCTGTAAAAGTAATGACATGATGACGATTGTTCAGCCACCAGAACTCATCTCCACAGGATGTCTGTGGCAGGGGTTTCTTCTCCCAGCTGACATTGACGGACTGATCCTAGGGATTCCCGATATGACTAGCCCTGTGACCACCCTGAGTTCCATTCAACACCCAGAGCAGTAACGCCTGACTTGCTTAGAATAGAGGAATGTGTAGCACTTGGAGATTCTGAAGGATTTAATGAATATCTGGTAGAAATTTACCCTTTTTTTGTTCAGTTTTGTACTAATCCTTCTAACTCTTTACTGTTCTTTAATAGTAAGCTAATTCATTGGTAAGATGTCCCCTTTTAGACCTCATACATCCCAACTATTCCTAGTGGCATCAATGTTGATATGCAAATTGATGTCTCAACTGACAGGAAAGTTTGCTAAACTGCATTCAGAGTGGGTTTTTTTCATTATGGACATTAAGATGAACTGTGGTCCATGAATGAACCCATTGGGCTGAAAGTTAGGTTCCCTGAGCCAGGCTTTCTCGAGTGCCCCGTAAGTAACCTAAACTGAGCCTAACCAGGCCCCCTTGTAAGCACTTTCTTCCTAGCTCCTTTTCTTTTCTTGGACAGGTAATGAAATCACCAGTTCCATTTCATTGGCATCAATGTCCATTCATAGATCCTAGTAAAGTCCCTGTCACATTTTTTATCAAGTGGGAAAAGGATACATGGTGAGAAAAAAAAAAAAAAAAAACTATTTGACAGCAAAACTGCCAATTAGAGTTACCTTGACTCTTCAACAATTCGACCAAAAAATTTACCATTCAACACTAAAAAGTGTGTAATGGTGGAGTAATTGGTGACAACATAAGTTTACCCAAAAAAAAGGGTAAATAAACAAACTCATGATCAAATTCTATTACATTGAAAAGAAGGGAATATACATTGTATAGTGGTCCATACTAGTGCATGCCATAGAACTAGCTAGGGTAAAATCAATCTGAAGCATGCATTATGATTACGATTTATGCATGCATTGCTGAAGCAACCCTCGAAGAACAAGAAAGGTCCAATATTTAAATTTAAGTTAAAGTTTGTCAAGTTGGAAATTTGGAATAAAGTAATTAAATACATGATTTGTATCTCAACAAGTGATTTGTTTATGATGATTGATCCAAATGGAAAATTTTAATAAAAATTACCATCCCACTTGCTTGTTTAGTGAAGAAGGTGGGTGTGGTTTTGGCCTTTTGGGTTTTCAGTGTACAAATTAATTTAACAATGTTGGTACATAACTGTAATTGTTAGTTTTTTAGTCTTTTTTATATCTTAAAATTATATAAAATATATTTAATATTTATTTTAATTAATATTTTATATTAAAAAGGTCTAAAATATATTTAATGCATCTTCTAACTTTCTAAGTCTATTTTAATTAGTAGTTATTATAATTATTAATAAAAATATGTGTATTTTAAATAAATAATAATTGTAGTAGTTAGTTTTATATTAATTTGTATTGAAAATTTTTGAAATTTTTTTTAAGAATTAATTTTTTAATTTGAGATAAAATTATTAGTGACTTAAAATTTCTATCACAAATAAGTTTGTGACAAATTTTTCTATCACATTAAATAACCTCTTTTTTATGACAAGATATAAAAATTACAAATAAGGCACTTTTGTGTCTAATTATTTTGACACAAATAATTTTAATTGTATTGTGTCTATTTTTTTTACTAAAATCATGTTTTTTTGTGATGATTGTAAACTTAATTACTATTAATTTTAATGACTCAATATTTATGATAAATAGTGATCAATCAAATTTTAGACACAAATGAAATTTGTGACAAAAAATATGGGTATTTGTAATTGATTTTCACCGTCACAAATACCCGTTTTGGTGAAGAGAAAAAAGAGATTTTTTAAATAAAAAATTTATTGTTTAGAGATGAATTTAGAAAAATAATAGATTATTCCTAGCTTATAATTAATATTAATCGTTTAATATTATAAAAGTGAAAGTTTATCCTCCTTTATATATATAACTCATTATTTACGTATGTTTACCCATGCATAAAATTTATTCTCTTCTCTCTTTTTCAAGTGACATCCTTAACAATATTTCATATTTTCCTCCAACTTGGGAGCTCCAGAAAAATGTAAGTAATTGCGGCACTGAAGAGTGGATATTCCTTAGAACATTTCTTTGCTGGGAATGAAAATGGATAGTTATATGGCACTAAATTTGTAAATGGAAAATGAAAGGAAAGCTACAGTAGGAATTTAAAAACAAACGAAACTTTTCTTTAGAAAAAAACTAAACATCATAATGAATCACATTCATGTATTCACACGATATATCAATGCTGTAAAGCTTTAACCCAATATATCAATTAAGGTCAACCCTAATACATGTACACTGCCCTTAACCTTAATTTTTCTTAATAATAAAAATTAGATTATGTAATCAGCTAACTAATATAATTGAGCACATAATGTCATCACAACGTAAGAGCCCAAAGTTTACACTAAACTTGCACACATTACAAGAAAAATTATCTTTTACAACATTATTTACTGTTACATTTTATATTTAAATAATATTTATAATACTTTGTGGTATGATGGTTTACGTTAGAAAAAAATATAGTAATTAAGAAAATTTTTTCTAGTGACGTGAGAATGATAAATAATAAGTAACAAAAAAAATACATAATTTAAATATAATATCATTGTCATATTGATAAATAATAAGTCTTATTATTCTACTAATTATCAATTATAATTAATTTTAAATTGTTAGCATGCCTTATTTTTTGGCCCACATGTTCAAAATTTACAGCTCCCACGAGACTCATTTGAGAAAGTTTTTACCATCGTCATCATCGATCTGTGGTACGTGAATTTGTGAGGCTGACATCATATCACTCTTTTTTTTTTTTCCCGAATGGTATCGTATCAACCTTAATTAACAGTAATTTTTAATTTTCTGCAATATAATTAGTGTAGAATTAAATTCTTGTTATTGAGACACTGTACATCACAATCAACATTCGTCACAACTCGTGTCACCCTAAACAGAAAATGAAGTAGAGCAGTAATCACCGCCAGAGGCAAGAAGTTCACTCCGTTCACATATTGAAATTAACCACAGGGCTGAAGCTTGCTAGACTGATTAGATAAAATTTTTAATTTTGTCTGCCTAATTTTTATTAAACAATGATATAGAGATAAGTTTTTTGTATTATTTTTATATGTTATTTAATAAATAAATATATTTAATATTATAAATTTAAAATAAATTAATTAATTAATCATTTCTCTACTAAACAATGATATAGAGATAAGTTTTTTGTATTATTTTTATATGTTATTTAATAAATAAATATATTTAATATTATAAATTTAAAATTAATTAATTAATTAATCATTTCTCTACTGTATAAAATTATATTAAAAGATGATATAAAAAAAATTTTCTTCAATTATTTTTGGGCTTAATTTAATAAATAATCTAATAAATTTTATATTTTTTTTTATTTCATCTATTATTTTTAAATATTTTCAAATCCATTTACTATATTTTATTTTTATTTCGATTTAATCTAATCTGTTAATTTTTTAATAGCATTTTCACTTCAT